ACTCACACACTCACACACTCACACACACTCACACACTCACACACACTCACACACACATGCCAATTCCTTGTCTGTCCTCGTGGCTGCAGAGTATGTGGTGGACGCGACGCGAAAGGGCAACAAGATCCGGTTTGCCAACCATGCCAACGATCCAAACTGCAACGCCAGAGGTGCACACAACATGGTGTTCTGTCATGTGCAGTTTTGGTGTTGTCGGTTTGTGGGTGGGTGCGTTCGTTGTTGTGTGCGCTATTGCGTTCGGTGTTGTGTGCGATGTTTTGCGCATCGTCGTGCCTCTCACAAACAAACAAACACACACACACACACACACACACACACACACACACACACACACACACACACACACACACACACACACACACCCACACGCGCGCGCGCGCGCACTGGCTGCGGGGCATGGTTGATCAGTGATGCTTGTGAATGGAGAGCATCGCATTGGCATTTACGCGAAGCGAAACATTCCCGCAGGCAAAGAGCTCTTCTTCGACTACAGGTGCGACATGGCTCGTGTGCGCGCGTGTGTTGTTGCATGCTTTGCGTTTGCTGTACAGAAAGGTTGTGACAACTGAACACACACACACACACGGGCGCGCGCGCACACACACACACACACAACAGGTATGGCCCGACGGATGCGCTCAAGTATGTTGGCGTGGAACGCGAGGGAGATGTGTGATGACATGACGCGGCTTTTGTTGTCAAACAATACACAGCGGTTCACAACTGTGACAGCAGAGAGAGAGTGTGTGTGAGAGAGAGTGTGTGTGTGTGAGAGAGAGAGTGAGAGAGAGAGTGTGTGTGTGTGTGTGTGTGTGAGTGAGTGAGAGGGAGAGAGAGAGTGTGTGTGTGTGTGTGAGTGAGAGAGAGAGAGAGTGTGTGTGAGTGAGAGTGGGGACAACAACGACAAACACAAACAAAAGCGCGGCTGTGGTTTTGCTGACTCGGCAAAAAGTTGCATGATCTTGCTGACGTCTGCGAGAGCAAGAAATCAAAACAAACAACAAGCAGCAGCAAGAGAAAAGGATTGGGTTTGTTTGTGTTTTGATGTGGACGATGACATGCAAGTTGGGTGGCACGTTTCGTGCCTTGCTGCTTGCTGCTTCTGATGACCTTTTCCTTCTTTGCTGCTTTTTGAACCTACCAACCAAACACCAACGCAAGCAACAAAAGAACAAGAAGTCGATAAACAAACAGAAGGCCATCAGGGACTTGTTGCCTTGCTTGTGCTTGTTGCTTGTTGCTTCTTGTTGCTTCTCGCTTCTCGCTGCTGCTGCACATACTTGTCTGGGCATCTTTCTTTCACCTTGTTCATTTTCTTCCAATCACCATCACACCAACCAGAGCAACGTCTAGCAACTACAGCGTACAGCGCACACGCCGACACTCGATCAGTGGAACCCACGTTCTCCGCTTTCTCCGCTTCACTCCCGCCGCAAAACCACATCCCCCCCCCCACCCCACCACTCCGGCCTTTGACCAGCTTCGTCGACGCTCGAGCAGCCACTTGTTCAAGATGACGCACACGCACCGCCGGAAGGCCAACAAGCACGACGGCTATGATCACCACAGCGCAGGCAACCACCACACCTCGAAGAAGCACGGCTTTGGGTCGTACAACTGGGGCAAGCCCGGCGCAGAGATGGACGACGTGCCGGTGCTGGACAAGGGCGACCCCATGTACGACGAGGAGCAGGGCCACGTGCCACGCTCCAAGAGCCGCACCTCGTCCACCTCGTCCACAGACTCCAACCCGTCCCCAAAGGTCCGCGTCGTCTCCAAGTGAGCACCGCGACGGTGGCGGTGGCGGCAAATCACAAAGTGATGACATGACTGAATTGAAGCAAGCCCACCACCATCACAACAACCGACAACGACGACCACGTCCCCTGCCTCGCTCGATGCATCAACGCACCCACTTTGTGTTTGTTGACGTCGCCATACGGGTGCCATCACTTTGGCTGCTGCTTCTCTTCTCTTCTCCTCCACTCCTCCTCTTCTTTGCTTATTTCTCAATTCACATAGTTGCCTTTCCTGTTGCGTGCTTCCCTCTCGTGTTTAACCGCCCTCCTGTGCTCTGCTGTCTTTGAACTTGATTTGATGCATCTCGATACACTTGCTTGTGATTTGTGCGCGCGCGTTTGGGATGAACAAGAGGCAGCGTGCACAGCTGTGCTGGCGGTTGGCTGTTTCGTTCTCCGCTCTTCCCATATTCTTGCTTGGTTGTGTTCGTCGTGGTGTCGTGGTCTGACATTGATGTTTTGATTGCGCCACCGTGATGGAATAACAACGAAGTAAACGTGCACCGTGGCATTTGATGGCATACGACAACGCAGGCAGATGGACGCATGTAAAGCCGCCACAACGTGCGTGAACTTAAGGTAAGCAGGCAAAGAAAGCAACAGAGGAACCGAAAGAAACGCACACACACACACACACACACAACGATGAGCGCACCTACACCCAATACACAGTGGAAAGCATGAGTGCAATCACAATAGCAAGGACGGCAACAGTGGCCTGGGCAACGCGCTGCAATGGGGCGAAGAAGAAGACAGGGACACAGTGTGAGATGGCAAAAAAAGCAAAGCAGGCGTGAATGACAAAGGCGCATCGACCGGAGCCAAACACAGCACATGAACACACGATGTACACGAACAAAGAGTACTTGCAGACACACACACACACACACGCAGAGCACGCGTGTCTAACCTTTTCCGAGGAGTAAGCCCGCAGTAGCTGCTGCAGTTGCTGCTTCTCCGCCTCAGTGGTCTGCACGTGCTCGCTGTCGGCAGCCCTGGTGGCCTCCACTTGCTTCCTCAGCGCCGCGCTCTCTTGGTTGGCCGCACGCAGCTGCTCGTCCATGCGCTTCGCTGCCGCTGCCGCCTCCTCTTTGAGTCGCGAGCACTGCTTCTCAAGCGACTCGGCCCGCTTGCTGGCGGCCTGGCGTGCCTTATCCTGCTTTGCATCCTCGCCCTTCCGCTGCTTCGACAGCGCGTCCTTCTCCTTTGTCAGCTTGTCAACCTTCTTCTTCAGTGCCGCCAGCTCTTGTGCAGACTGCTTCGATGCGTCCTCGCTGCCCTTCTTCGCCGCATCGACCGCTTGTTGGAGCTCCTCCTTCTCCTTCTTCAGCGCATCAAGTTGTGCCTGCAGCGCACCCACGGCCTCCTCCTTCTCCTTCTTCAACACATCCACCTGCTGCTGCAGTGCGCTCACAGCCTCCTCCTTCTCCTTCTGCGCTGTTGCCACTCGCTCCTGTGCCTCCTCCTTCTCCTTCTTCAGCGCATCACGTTGTGCCCGCAGTGCACCCACGGCCTCCTCCTCCTCCTTCTTCAGCGCATCAAGTTGTGCCTGCAGTGCACCCACGGCCTCCTCCTTCTCCTTCTTCAGCGCATCAAGTTGTGCCTGCAGTGCACTCTCGCCCTCGCTCTGCGTCTTCTTCAACGCATCCACCTGCTGCTGTAGTGCGCTCACAGCCGCCTCCTTCTCCTTCTGTGCGGTTGCCACTCGCTCCTGTGCCTCCTCCTTCTCCTTCTTCAGCGCATCAAGTTGTGCCTGCAGTGCACTCTCGCCCTCGCTCTGCGTCTTCTTCAACGCATCAAGTTGTTGCTGCAATGCGCTCACAGCCACCTCCTTCTCCTTCTGCGCTGTTGCCACTCGCTCCTGTGCCTCCTCCTTCTCCTTCTTCAGCGCATCACGTTGTGCCCGCAGTGCACCCACGGCCTCCTCCTTCTCCTTCTTCAGCGCATCAAGTTGTGCCTGCAGTGCACTCTCGCCCTCGCTCTGCGTCTTCTTCAACGCATCAAGTTGTTGCTGCAATGCGCTCACAGCCACCTCCTTCTCCTTCTGCGCTGTTGCCACTCGCTCCTGTGCCTCCTCCTTCTCCTTCTTCAGCGCATCAAGTTGTGCCTGCAGTGCACCCACGGCCTCCTCCTTCTCCTTCTTCAGCGCATCAAGTTGTGCCTGCAGTGCACTCTCGCCCTCGCTCTGCGTCTTCTTCAACGCATCCACCTGCTGCTGCAGTGCGCTCACAGCCTCCTCCTTCTCCTTCTGCGTTGTTGCCACTCGCTCCTGTGCCTCCTCCTTCTCCTTCTTCAGCGCATCAAGTTGTGCCTGCAGTGCACCCACGGCCTCCTCCTTCTCCTTCTTCAGCGCGTCAAGTTGTGCCTGCAGTGCACTCTCGCCCTCGCTCTGCGTCTTCTTCAACGCATCCACCTGCTGCTGCAGTGCGCTCACAGCCTCCTCCTTCTCCTTCTGCGCTGTTGCCACTCGCTCCTGTGCCTCCTCCTTCTCCTTCTTCAGCGCATCAAGCTGTTGCTGTAGTGCACTCTCGCCCTCATTCTGCGTCTTCTTCAACGCATCCACCTGCTGCTGCAGTGCGCTCACAGCCTCCTCCTTCTCCTTCTGCGCTGTTGCCACTCGCTCCTGTGCCTGCTTGCGTTCTTGTTCAAACTCGCCTTGAAGCTCCTCCCTCACGGCTGCGTCACGCTTACGTTTCGCATCCTCCTCTCCCTCCTCGTGTGCGCGTACCCGAGCCTGTAGCCCCGCAATCGTCTGCTGCGACGCCGCCAGCTGTGCCGTCAGCGCATCCAGTGTCAATTGCATTTCGCTGACCGCCGCCTTCATCGCCTCCGCCTCTGCTCCCGTCACTCGAGCAGCCGCACCCTCGTCACCGGCTGCACCAGCAACAACACTGCTGCTACTGCTGCTGCTACTGGTGGTGGTGGCGGCGGCGTGTCGCGATGGCGTGTGCATTCCCGCCAACACGCTGTCGCTGCCCTGCTGTCCATCCACATCGGGCGGTGTGCACAGCGCGTCTGTAATCTCCTCCTCGCTCGCGCCCTTCTCGCGCAACAGTGCAACGGCGCCCTGCAGCTGGTGGTGCACGTGCATCTGCTGGGTAACAATCTCCTCCTGTTGCTGCACGGCGCGGCGGCGGAGCTCAAAGCACGCGTCCAGCGAGTGTCGCATTGTCTCAAGCTGCTCCTCAGACAGCGAATCGTCAAGATGCGCCTGCACAGAGAAAATGTTCCCGGAGAGGGGGTGTTATATTGTGTGTGCATGTGTATGTGTGCATGTGTACGTGCATGTGTGCATGTGTATGTGAATACGTGTATGTATGCATGCGTATGTGTGCGTGTGTCTGCACGGTTTTGCTAGCGCTGATAACCACCACCACCACATCGCATCACCATCATGAACAAAGGGTGCATTTGCAAGCCAACTCACGCCTGAGGTGATGTTGCCCCATTCCTTTTCGTTGAGCGGCGAAAAGACATCAAAGCTCGCCATGCGGAGGAGGTCCTGCAGTGCATGCATGCACGCACGTGGTCGTGGAGAGACAAGAGGGCCCAGGAGTGTTGAAGTTGGGTGGTGAGGCTTGACATGAGGGAAAATCGCAGCCAAGCACACGCACACACAGACACACAGACAGAGACACACAGACAGAGACACACACACACACACAGACACACAGACACACACACACAGACACACACACACAGACACACACACACACATGCACACGCACACGCACACACCGAGTCATCGAGGGTTGTTTCTCCGCGATGGGTGATGTGGGAGATGTTGCTGAGCCCACTGCCTGTCGAGCTCCTACCGCCACCGCTGCCGCCACCACGGCGCCGCTGCTGCTGCTTCTTGTTGTGCATTGGAGTGCGATCACGACCATCCTCGCGAGGGGACTTGAACACCTTCACGGGCGACGGTGGGTCCGAGGCCGCGCCCTCTCTTGGTGGCGTTGCTGTTGACGCCCCAGATACGCTCGACACGTTGGATACGGGAAGGCCACGAGGCTGGTGCTGGCGGCGGCGCCCATCGCGCGCGTGGCGCTGGTTGCCATTACGACCTTTGATGGCGGTGGCGGACGTGGTGGTGGGGTGTTTTGGTGCCGCGTTCTCCTGCTGCCTGTCCACGCTGGGCGCATTGCTGATGTCGGCCTTCCCGTTGACGAGCGGGGCAGCAGCAGCAGTAGTAGTAGTAGTAGCGACAATAGCGGGCTTGTCTTGGGTCACGGCGGGAACAGCACTCACGGATGTCAATGCCTCGTCCTTGTCATTGACGCCCCCTTGTGCGTGCTGTGGCGTTGGTGCACTGTCCTTTCTCTGCTGCTGTTTCTTCTGCTGCTGCGTCTGTGGTGCGGGTTTGCTTCCTCCCTTGCGCTGGTTGCCCTTGCCGTCACCCTGCTTCTGTTGCCGTTGGTGCTTCTGTTGCTTGTGTTGCATTGGCGTTGGCGTTGGCGTTGGGACTTGGGGTGTCGTTGAAGATGATGATGACGACGACGACACGGAGGCAGGCGTTGGAATCCCGCTGTTACGATAGCGGTTGCTGGTGCGGCGCGGAATCTGTGTGGCACCTGCAGCCGATACCTTGCCTTCTTGCGGCTGCTGCTTCTTCTTCTGCTGCTGCTGCTTCTTCTTCTGCTGCTGCTGTTGCTGCTGCTTGTACGGCTGCGGCTGCGGCTCGGTGCGGATGTGGGTTTCCTGCGTGGGCGAGTCACGGCGCCCAAAGTCAAGCGCTCGCTTAAACAAGGGGATCGGGGCCGGGGTGCTCTGATCTGATCCTGGTCGACGGGCGTTGGAGGTGCCCTGCGGTGGTGTGCGCGCCTCCCCGTGCCTGCCTGTGTTGCCCGTCGCTGTTGTGGATCGATTGTGGCGACGGCGTGGGCTCTTGCCTGAAGCATGTGCGGCGGGCACCGCCGATGCCTGCTTCTTGGTGTTGCCCCGTGTGGGCGTGGATGGGTTGGATTGCTTGGACGGCTTCCCTTTGGTCTTGGGTCCCTTGTCCTTGCCTGGTCGTGTGGGTGTGGATGGTGCGGACGAGAACGGGCTTGCGGTGGCGGACAGGTCTGCCGCTGGCACGCGCGGAAGCGTGTCCAGGTTGTTCTCTTGTTGTTGCCGTCAGCGACATGCTCGACCACGCCCGCCACTGGCAGGTAGGGTCTGTGTGTGTGTGTGTGAGTGAGTGTGTGAGTGTGTGTGTGTGTGTGTGTGTGTGTGTGTGTGTGTGTGTGTGTGTGTGTGTGTGTGTGTGTGTGTGTGTGTGTGTGTGTGTGTGTGTGTACCTGCGTGTGGACAGATGCGCGGACAAGGTGTGTGTCCGAGGGTGTGTCCGAGGGTGTGTGTGTGTCTTTGTCAGTGTGACGGCCAGGCAATAAGGTCGTGCGTGTGAATGAGTCAACGGCAAAACAAGCAAGCAAGAAGGAAGAAGGAGGAAAAAAAAAAAAGGCAGCAGTGTGCGGACAGCAGCAACCACGACAACAGGTGCGCACAGCCGTGCACGCCGAGCTGAGTCAGGTCACACGCGAGCTGCAGCAAGCAAAGGAGCAGGGCAACGCAGGCCATGTGGATGGCGATGGTGATGGCGATGGTGATGGTGATGGTGGTGGTCGGCAGCAGACATCGGCAGCATCACCAGCAACAACCGCTTCAGCGGGCGCTGATGCTGTGACTGCTTGCGCGAAGCCCGAACAGCAAGAGCAAGAGCAGAAGCAAGAGCAAGAGCAAGAGCAAGAGCAGGAGCAACAACAAAGAGAGGCCGATGCAGAGCGGGTGGATGTGATGGAGGAGGGCGAGGGCGACTTGCGTGTGATTGCATTGGAGCACGACGGAGACCGCGTATCCATCAACAAGTTTCACCACGAGAAGCTTCGCCGCCTTTATGCAATCCACTCCAAACAACACGTGGACGGCTGCCGGTATCACCAGCAGCAGGCGGCCGGCTCCTATGACACCCAGGAGGCGGCAGCGTCGCCGTGTGAATGCCCCGTTGACGAACAGCACTTTGCGCGGTGCTTGTATGTGCTGGCTCGCCGCTACAAAACGTTTATTGGCGATGAGGCAGAGGGTGGCGCCTTCCACGCCGCTGCCCCTGAAACCACGTTTGATACGCTCAGGGAGGACTTTGAAGTGTCGCAAGAGCAATTTGCTTCTCCCTTTAACTGCCACTTCCGCAAGGTTTGTGTCTGTCTGTCTGTCTGTGTGTCTGTGTGTGTGTGTGTGTGTTGTGTGTGTGTCTGTGTGTATGTGTGTGTGTTTGTGCATGTGTGTTTGTGCATGTGTGTTTGTGTATGTGTGTTTGTGTTTGTGTGTCTGTCTGTGAGTGTGTATATGTGTGTGTGTGCTTTGTTTCTTCTTCTTCGTCTTCTTCTGTTGCTGCTGCACCTCAATCGCACTCTCCGTATCTCTTGGAACCTGTGCGCATATTCACGTGCCTCACCTCGGTGCGACTCACATTTCTCCCTCCGTCCTGCTTCAAACCCAAACCCCCACCTCCCCTCCTGCCATCCCTGCCCCCCCCCTCCCACCCATCCACGTGCCCAGTTCTGCTCTGCGTTCCCTGACATTGACGTGTGGTTTGGCTCTGTCGGCTCTTTCTTCGACTTCTCTCCCGTCGAGGGCTCCTTTGAGACGGGCCCGCCGTACACGGAAGAGGTGATGGATATGATGGCTGATCGCCTTGAGCACCTGCTTGACAACAGCACCGGCCCGCTCTCCTTCATCGTCTTTGTCCCACAGTGGCGCTCTCCGGCATGCCACGCCCTCGTCTCCATGGTGTGTGTGTGTGTGTGTGTGTGTGTGTGTGTGTGTGTGTGTGTGTGTGTGTGGATTTGTGTGTGGATTTGTCAGGATGTACTTTGATGTGCGTGTGTGTGTTGTTTGTGTTTGTGTTTGATGATGTCTTGCTTGCAGTGTGTATTGCACTGGTTTGTGGTGGCATGACACTGATTGCACCCTCACGCATCATGAATGTGCGTGTTTGTGACAGGACAATTCCCGGTATCTCCGTGCACATTTCGTTGCTCCAGGGCATCAACACACCTACATCACAGGCGTGCAGGTCAGCATTGTGCACTCCACAACATGCACGCACGCACACGCACACACACACACACACTCACACACACACTCACACACACACACACTCTCTCCCTCTCTCACACAACAACAACAAAGCAAACCAAACCACAACATACTCCTGTCAACCTCACCCTTTCGTGCCCCGCCACCCACCCATTCACAACAGCATACGGAAGGCGGCCAGGGCGGGCACCGCTACTACGTTGTTCCACATGGCACGGAGCTGTTTTTCCTGCAGAACGATGCGGCATATGCCAAGTGGCCGCCGACGCAGCACAAGATCAACCGCTTCAAGGCGTCTCTCGGCATCAAGGTGGACGCAGGGCCCTTCAAGTGCGAGCCCGACCTCGTGCCGCAGCGGCCAAAGACGAAGACAGCTGCCACTGTCAGCACTGGCCGTGCTGTTGTGGATAAGGGGCGGCATGACGATCGTGACGATGGTGACGGCGATGGTGATGATGATGATGATGATGATGATGATCACGGCGATCAGCCCTCGAAGCGGGCCAAGCGCTCCACACAATGACATGTGTGTGTGTGTGTGTCTGTGTGTCTGTGTCTGTGTGTGTGTGTGTGTGTGTGTGTGTCTGTGTGTGTGTGTCTGTGTGTCTGTGTGTCTGTGTGTCTGTGTGTCTGTGTGTCGGTGTGTGTGTGTGTCTGTGTGTGTGTGTGTGTCTGTGTCTGTGTGTGTTTTGCTGCCAAAGTTGTTTCCGTTGTTGAACAATCATGAAAGATTTTCTACAATTATCTGCAATCCACTGCCACCTCAACAACAACAGAAACGGCTGACGACAAAAGGACGTGAGAGAGGGAGGAGCGATCAGAGCATCCACTGCATGCATTACATTAACAACCCACCAGCTACATACCAGACACACACATACACACACACACACACACGTTCATCTCCGTAAGTACAGGTTTGAGGAAACGACAAGCATGGCTGGGGTGACGATGAACGCCCTTCTTGTGTTACTACTGGGCGTGGTGCTGCTGTGTTGTGGCCTTGGCACGGACGCCAAGACCCTCGCAGACTCCGCAACGTGCGACGAGAAGTCTTGGTTTGGCGCTGTTCGCAGCGCAGACCTGTTCACGGTGGAGGCGTGCTTGAAGGAGCACCCGGAACTGGGCAACAAGGAAGATGCGGTCGGGTGCACGGCAATTGTGAACGCCGCGGCCAACAAGCACCTGGACGTGGTGCAGGCGCTTCTCAAGGCCGCGCCGGAGCACGTGAATGTCAACCACCAGTGCAGGTCTGGCAAGGCGGCCCTGCATCACGCCGCGCAGCAAGACAACGTGCCCATGGTCCGCGCGCTGCACAAGAAGGCTGGCAGCCTCGATTTGCAGGACAAGGACGGCAACAGCCCGCTCTCCATCGCCGCGCAATACGGCAACATCCGTACCCTCGCCTACATGAACTCCCTCACCGAGGAAATCTTCGGTGCGTGCGTGCTTGCGGGTTGCGTGTGTGTGTGTGTGTATGCGTGTGCATGTGTGTTGATACTGGGTGGATATGTGCAGATACGCATTTGTGTATGTCGCAAGCGTCTCTCGCTCTCTCGCTCTCTCGCGTGCGCGCTCTCTCTGTGTTGTACGTGTGGGCGTCTCTGGCTGCAGCTGCACTCACCTGTGAATGGATGAATGGGTTGCAGACACGTGGAGCGGAAGCGAGCTCCTGTGGGCTGCAGCACACCACAACACGGAGCACGTCAAGGTACATTGCCGCGCTTTAGGTCGAGGCAGTTTCGCCAGCACATCCCACTCTCACTATCACACTGACGCTGGCACGCATGCATGTGTGGGAGCACACACTCCAAACACATTCGCGCACACAATCTCTCTCACTCACACACGCACACACACACACACACACACGCACGCACGCACGCACACACACGCACCATGCCTGGTGTGCAGGTTGCGCTGTCGCGGGAGGGAGCGCATGTGGAAGAACGGGACGGACACGGCAACACGGCGCTGCTGTGGGCTGCACGCACAGGCAGCGTCGCCATGTTCAACGAGGTCATCAAGCACGGCGCGGACATCACGGTACCGTGCACCTGGCTGTGCGTTGTGTCTGTGTGTCTGTGTGTTTTGGGTGTGTGTGTGCGTGTGTGTGGGTTGGGTGGGTTGACTCTTGCATGTCTGTGATTGTTCTGCTGCATGATCAGTGCATTTCCAACGCCCCAATTGCGTGCGTGTACCGCGCCTCCATCGTTGCACCACAACCACACAACCGCGTCACCACTACCCCCCTCCCCTCCCCCTCTCCCCTCTCCCCTTCCCTCTCTCTTCCTTTGCTCGCTGGCTCAGGCGGAATCCGAGTCCGGCTGGACGGCGCCGTTCTACGCTGGCTATTTCAGGAACAAGCGTCTCATGCAGGTGTGCTCCATTGCGTAGTGTGCGTGCGTGTGCGTGCGTGTGTGTGTGTGTGTGTGTGTGTGTGTGTGTGTGTGTGTGTGTGTGTGTGTGTGTGTGT